AATTATACTGTTGATCACACACAATTTTCATTATATTTTTGTATTCTTTTTGCTTTTGTCCCTTATATAGGTCCATCAATCATTTATAAACCTATCAATCTATATAATATTATGATTGCATTAATCTTATACCTGGCTATGTATCCTCCAGCATTATAAGTTTCTTTAGTATTCATTTTTGGCATAGAGCTTAAAAGCTAAAGTTTAGAACTCTTTAAGTTAATTTTGATAAAAGACTACAATGCTGTTTCAATAATGCATTGAAGAGCAGTGTTAAAAAAACAATACCTACAGATAACTGGATGAATTCACAATATTCAAATATCACTCGATTATCATTTACTCATTACTGCCCTTGTATTTTTGCTTGAAATATCGAACAATTTTGAAACATTAATAACAAATCATTATTTATTTTTAATGTTTCGATTTGACGACTGTTTTACATTCGATTTGATGACTGTTGTCTTTATTACCTTTTCCTTTCTTAATTCAATATCATTGATTTTTAAACAAAGACAGGTCTTTCATTTAACCATGCAACTAATTAATCTTATTTTAAAAATATCTAACAAATGACACACATATGATATTGTATAATAATTTTTCATGTTCTATATAAATGAAACTCTGGTTTAGATGATACCCCAAAAGTGCAGAAAAATTCAGTTCATCAAAAAAAACCATACCGTGACAGATGCTTCTAACTTTACACTTTTTCATAGTGTATCAGCCTTAATCAATTGACTAAAAAGAAAATAATAAAACATGTTTATATCAACCCATTTATTCTTTATACAAATGAATTAGCATACCTTATTACACAAATCTACTTCCTCGCATATTACGAAAATGAATAATTTACCTCTCGCGGCCAAATTTCTATCGAATAATTTTAGCCCGCCCTATTATTGTGTGTTTCTGTTGACGCTGCGAATACCCCGTTATTATCATTCGTTATTCATGAATACCGTTTAGGAAATTAACAAACTCGTGATTAACGAATCGAAGTAATTACTTAATGTCGTTTGTATCAAAAACACAACAGCTCCGCATAATAATTCGGATAAATTCAGAAAATTTGGTTTTCTCTTTATAAATCGATTTTTTATGCTGTAGTTACGGAAAAAAATATGCGAAACTTTCTTAAAAAATTGAATTTTTACGGCGGGCCATAACCATTTCGATGAACCAACAAAACGACTTCACGCAAATTATTTTGGTTCCGATTTTTTCCGGAGATACTCGAACACCAATTTACACAAAATACCGTTTATTTATAGGAAAAAAGAGACCTAGAATTTATTTAAGGATTGTAGTAATTGCCGAAACAATGAGCATCGGAATTAGTAAAAATCAACGGAGCGCGGTGATGCAATTGCCGGAAGACTCGCCGAGCTGGTTATTTAAACAGAAATAAAGGATTGACCGGACTTTGTCACACCCTGTACACAACGGAAACGCGTCTGCCAGGAAAGAGGAACTGAGGCCATTATTAGTGCTATAACACGGTTAGTGGTTTTAGTACTACAGAAATTTCCGTGCGGTGATTTTTTGGTACTTGTAACCTATTGAAACACATTAAGGGGATTTTGCTTATAAATTCTGCATTAAAAGGAATTGATTTTATATTATTAACTATCGCCCAAAACTTTTGAAAATATTAGTCAATGGTTCTTCAATATTCAGTCTTATTTCGCCTATACAATAAATAAAGAAATGAATGTAATTTTATTTTTTGGATAATATATAATATAAATGATTGATCGACCTATAAGGGACACAAGCAAAAAGAATGCAAAGATATAGTGAAGAGTGTATGCGATCAGAAATATAATGTCATTCTGAATATGCCTTTGTCAGTTAAGTTAAGGAAGTCTGCATTAAGTTAATATATTTCTTAAAGAAGTTTGCTCCTTTGTTATTTTAGAGTTTTATGATATTTACTATGGTGTCATTATTTAATTTCTTTATATACTTTGTACCAAATGTTTTATGCTGTATTATTTCTAAAGTTATTTTTTTTAATTAATACGATTGAAAAAAAAAGGCGTCAAAGATGGCTGGCAAATGGCAATCGATAGTAATTTGGAGGTCAATCCCTAGACGTAATTTAGTTAGCCCGTACTCTTTTTTAACGGTGCTTACTACCAGTTAGGTTTAAAAAGGTTGTAATTTATTTTTCTTTTGAATAAAAATTATTTTTAAATGGCGTAGGTAATTTAAAATTGGAAAAAAATTGGAAGTAGATTTCTGGGTTTGGAAAAGTTCCATCGTTTCCTTGTCTTTCTATAATTAATGTCAGTTTTTAGTAAATTACAAGATTAGCTTCTCTATCTATGAAGCAATCCCTATGCAGCAGTTTTGATGGACGGCTGTAATTGAATCTCGACTATCTTTTATTAGTATGTAAAACTCGTAATGCTTTGCCTCATAGTCATAAATTTGAACCTTAAGGCACTTCCAGCAAATAAATAGAGCCTTTAACATCAGGTGGTAAGGATTTGGCAATGCGCAAACATCATATTTCCCTAAAGGACTACAAAACCGTTGAACACAGATTGCTTCATGCAACACAAAGTTTAGTTAAATTAAAAGTTTGAATGATATAGATTCGGCAGTACTGAAACTTGGATGTAAGTCCACAAAGCTTGGTGTAACTCAAGATCCGACTCTTTGAAAATGCCCGAACTACCCATCAAGCAAAATGCAAGCATTTCCTCTAACATATTATTTTTGAAATCCACCTTGTTATAAAACTGAATAAAAATTGAAGGAAGCTATTAATTCCTATAAAAAATAATGACATTACATAATTCAATATCGTAGACGATCAAGTAATTATTGAAAAAATATATATTGCCATAATTACTAATTATTTGCACTGCAAACACCACATAGTTTTTTACTCTCGATACATTAATCCTCTTACTACAATCTTAGGCCTACTACAACATAATTTATGTTTTTAAAGTTAAAAAAAACGAATTAATAACTACACGTAAAAGCAACTACAAGAAAAATTGATTAACTCGGTTGGAGCGCATCAGGGGGATTGGATAATTTACCTCCCATGGCGAATTTTTAATTGTATAGACGTAATGAATGTTTTAGCGAATAAATCGCTGCTTTTTAATTCCGACTGGAAGTAATTCCCTCGCCATATTTTCCGCGAACATTTTCAAAATCGGCTTCATTAAGCGCACCTGTTTTTTACCGAATCGAACCCAAAGGTTTTCGCAATATCCGATAAATAACCTGTAACTTGTTGCATTTGTAAAGCCTCGTACATGTAATTTGTTAATCATCGCTAATGAATCGTTTTTTTATTCACCGAGGAGCTTAAAAGTATTCCTGTAAAAATACCTCTGAAATTAAATGGATTCGCTCTTGCATGCACCACATCAGAATTCAGAATTTATGGTAGAGTCTTTTTTTTATTTTAAATTTATCCGTTATAGATTTGTTTGATCAATAGGGCAGCCACGAAAATAGAATAAAACAGGTACCCCCTTTCTGTAATGTAAGAAGTTATCGAATATCTGACTGCTTATGCATAAGGGCTTTAGAAACTCTGATGTATTCTACTGGTACCCATACCGCTATAATACTGACGTTGTAGCTTGACAATCAGATTCTTTGAAGTAATGAACACAATAGGATTATGAGCTTCACTTTAATAAAATCGTTCAATTAGGTTTAATTAATGCCTTAATTGGAATAATCATTTCATTAAGCTAGTTAAGCTTAAACTCCATGATAATTATTTATTATTTGCGAACCGTGCAAAAAAGAGTTAAAGAAATGCTTCCTCTATATAAGAAGACATGCTCCTATATAAAGCCACCTGTATCATATGAATATTTTTAACCTTTTATAGCTTGATGGTCGCTAAATCGACTACTTTAATTTAACCAACTAATCAGTCGCCCAGTTTGTTTCCTATTCTTATTTCTATGCGCGCCTTAGTCATTTAATCAACCATATCTATACGTAGGCCGAATTGGCGTGAAAAGTTAGTGTAAGCAGTTGAATATTCTACCAGTGAGCAATGGTGACACTGAGTTTGCTGTATATCATACAGGTAATAATTGTCGTCTAAACATTTTCTATGCAAATTTTGTGAGATAAAAATTTAAAAATATAGAAACCAAAGTATCTCTGACGTTTATTTCTTTTTATTTAGTGCACCAAAGTTACGGCTCGGGTGATATTATCTAAAATCGTTAACATATCCTGTGTATTTCGATCATTTCTCATAGGATGCGAGTTTCTCGAAAAACAAAACTTGATTTACTTGATTTGGACATATTTTTGAGTAGAGATCTAACAGAAATAATCAAAATGAACTTACACTTGTTTCTTACATTGGATATGACACATACAGTTTATACATTAGATCTTATGATATTATCTATGTGCTTTAACAGTCTCTGGTTGAAAAAACGTTAAAAATTTGTTAAGTTTTTGAAAAATTTTATTAAGAAGATATGCTGCCTTTGAGCTAGTTTATATATTTTTGAAGTCAATTTGATAAAACTTGAAAACAACTAGTACTGCCCTATAAAGCGTTAATAAAGATCTCAATGAGCATTCTGCATTAGCAAACCAGAAACTACAGATCAAATTTTCTGTGTCTTTGACAGAGTGGCCCACAGAAAACAGATCGATTATTTAAAAGTAACTGTCAGTGGCAGTATCGCAGATTGTGACTTTGTCACCAATGAAAAACATGTAACAGCTATTAAGTAGTTACAACATTTTTCTGGCATAATCACTGAAGAGCAAAAACAAAAATAGCAAAAAAAAACACTAATCGCTACCGTTTCGCTAATCACATTAGCATCATCATCAGATGATTAAAACTAAGTTTAAATTTTCAGTTTTAATCATCTGACGATGATGCTAACATGGTTCTGTACTGTGTTCTGGTAAACTGGTGTTTTATTTTGGTATTTTTTATTTTCTATTCCTCAGCTGTTATAACAAATGAAGCTTACCTCTAAATTTTCCAAAATTATTCTGCAATCAGATTCAGGAACATTATCAGCGATCTTGATGACCAATTCTTCATACGCTCCGTTTTTAAGGTCCAAGCAGGTGACGATACTGAGAAGACACAGGTTGAAGATGATGGCAGACGTCTTCAACTCCATCGCAGAAATCAGCTTCTAGTATTTTTTTCAGTGAAACAAAAAACAGTTCGTCAATGGTAAACTAGGATTGCATCTTCGACCGTTGGTCGTTCTCGCTCCAAAAATAACCACGAAAAAATCCAGTCACTTTCCAAACTAAATCACAAAATCCGACTGAGGAGCCGGTGTTTTCTGTTGTCTTATCGATTCCACCGGGTAACCACGGATACTCAGCCGAATATCAACAAAACAACTGCCGATGACGTTCCGCTTTGGTGAACAGTTAGAGCCACGTAACTGGCGGATGGATCGGCGAAAGAGTTCAACAACACGCCGGCAAACGGTGCTTGCGAGCGGATGGCGTCAAACTGAGGACTGTGCGAGTTTGAACGGCCGAAACGCTGTGCGATGTCGTAGTCGCGCGAAGACGGACTGACTGGTGTGACTCCCACTACTCTACGGCGGCAATGCAGGATGCATCTGATGCGTTTTTACGGTAAAGCACGAGTTTTGAGTAAGTCAGGTAGCAGGCGCTCGAGGGGTCTTCTATCCCCACCACTGGTCGTGCTCTTCTTCTTCCTATGTGTGTACGAGTGTATGGCGCGCTGGCGATGAGAGGTCGAGATGAATTTTGAAAAGTTTTGGTGAAAGTGCCGGGATTTGTAGTTGTAGGGAAGAGACAGAGTTGTTAATAGCCAACGCTGTAATAGCACTTATTTGTAGTTATATACTTATAATTGTAAATAAAATGTATTAACACTTTTTACGTAGTTTTTAGTTAATAGATAATATTTTTGAAATGTATTAAATATTTTCTCAGTTTCATATAAACTTGTAAACAGTTGAAACACTCGTATGTGTTGAAAGATTGATTACTGTAATTTACTGAAAATAACCAATAAAGATCACTTTAAAGGTTTCATCTTAAGAGCCTGTGACGCTGTACTTTCGGGTCGAGTAAAGCGGGTGTGTGGCCGAAGAAAATATATATTATATTTCAGAAATATGCTTTCCCGATCCTCTCGTGTTAAGCCACACCTAAAATTCAAAACAAACGTGCTTTGATTAAGGCTTGATTGAATTTTGCAGAGCTTCAGCATTTGCCATAAAATAGCGAGCAATTTGTTACAAAACCATATATATTATATATCACTGTAATCACAAAACTTCAATCTTTTTCCGTATTGTTACGGAATTTTAAATTATGTCTTTATTTTGGAGAAAATTTAGTCCAAACATAAGGAATATTTTGTTGATGTTTGACTATCAAAATCTTAAAAATAAAGAAGTTGCTAAAAATGTGCTACAATACGGATATAGTATAATCTTTTATATTTAATTTCCTTCTTCTTTTGTGTAAAAATACCTATCTAGTTTTACATAAAACATTAAATGTCGAACGCTTATTTTGCTACTTTTTCGGACTAGTGAAATGGACTCTTAAAGTTTACTGATAACTGTTTTGCTTAGAAGTTTTATTAGCTGTTATTTGATTTTACAAAATGTATTTTTTTCCTTACTTCTGTATATTTTCATCTATAGTTACTTTGCAGTTGCTGTGTATTGTAATAAAAAAATAGTGTTTTATTTTGCTGACATGTTTTCAATGTTAAAATTTTACATGATATAGTTCAACTATTATAATAAAAACTATATAAAAATTAATATTAAAATAAATAATTAAATAAAATGCTTCAACAGAATAACCGAGAAAAAATCGTGCATTTCATTTTGGAATAACGACGTTTGAAAAAAATCAGTTCTGGCATTTTTGTTTGAAATATTAGCACTCTATGTGTTGAAATATTGATTACTATAATTTACTGAAAATAACCAATAAAAACCACCTTAAAGGTTTCATATTAAAGTTTACTGATAGTTTTAGTTACAGTTTTGCTAGCTGTTATTTGGTTTTACAAAAAGTATGTTTTTGTTTATTTCTGTATATTTTCATCTCTAGTTATTTTGCAATTGCTTCTAAAATGGATCCGTAAATGCTTCAACCTAGAAGAAATTATGCTTTTCATTTTGGAATAACGGCGGCTTGTGAAAAAAAAAAACATTTTTGGCATTTTTGTTTGAAATATTAGCATTCTCGATAGAGCCAGTACAATTTTAAACATGGAATAGAATATAAAGAAAAAATAAACAGCATCATAGACTAGTACAAGAAAAAATATCAATCATTCTTATTATATATAGGTCTCCTCATGTTGATTTTACTAAATTATAATACACTTTGATTAATAATATTGTAAATAAGAAGAAAAGTCATATCATCATGGGAGATTTCAATATAAATATAATGGAAAAAACACTCTGATTAACAACTACTACAACATATATCGAGAACGAAACTACAAAATCCTGAATAAAAAGAAAACATGCGCATACACTCGTTACAATGAACATTGTAACAACTCGACACTTGATAATGTTATCACAAATTAATATTAAAGATAAGTCAATTAAAATGAACATTATCTCCTCTAATATCTCTGATCACAATTTAATTAAAGTAACATTAGAATCAAAAATAACCAAAGGACCTACTTCTACAAAATTTGAAATCACAACATGAAATACTCAAAAAATATACAATATGATCTCCGAACTAAAGACCGATAAAATTAAATCTTGTCAGTACTGTCAAGAACAATTTTATTGTTCTTAGTTTTGATACAAGTATTTGCAAAGAACATTTTTTGGAACATCTTCAGCCACTGAGTTGAATTAAGGAATAACATTTGTTTTTGTTGATTTAATTTTGGTAAAATACATAATAATATATTTCGTCTAATTCAGAGACGTGTGTAGACATCTCAAAACCTTATTAGGAAACCTTGGTTACAAAGCCAAAAGACAAGTACTTCAATGGAATCATGGAATAATATTTTTTGTTTATTTTGTTTGTGGTGAAAAATATAATTTTTGTTTGGGTAAAGGAATTTAAGAAAACTAATAATAAACGGACGTACCTTTTCAAAATACTTAAAATATTTGTTTCTACCTGCCAATGGACAGTCCCATTGAAATGGGTTCGAACGTTTTAGAGATTAGTCTGGGCCAACCCACAAACATTTATAACATATATTTTCTCTAATTTGGATTTACAGACGTGTATAGATAACTCAAAAGGATCATTATTAGGCTCATAAAAAGAAGCACTTGTTTCAAATTTAGAGATAGCTGCTTCAATATTGCAAACATATGTCTATACAGGGTGTTTCAAAAAAAGATTCCTCACGTTAAAATAAGATTTATTTTTCATATCAACATAGGTCTGATCATGCTTTGTTTCGTAGCTACAGGGTGTTAAAGTCTTAATATTTTTTCAATTTATTATAATTTTATTAACTACCTACTTTTTGCGTTTTGAATGAAATTTTAAGAGCCTTTTCTAAATATGCTGATAAGCCACTCTTGTTCCATTTGAAAAAAAAAATGAGAGATGATTAAAAATACGATTTGGGCATCTTTTAACCGACCAGGATAAGACACGAAAAACATTAAACGATCAAAACTATTTTTTCAAGGCTCCTTGATTAAAAATTAGTGTTTTAACGCAGCCATGGCACTCTAGATTGAAATTTAAAATACGAGATTTTTTTTCAAGCGAAAATGTCAAAAGTTCAATCATTCTATTGTGTCATTTTATATCGAATAATTAAAAAAATAACGAGGGTGCTATTTAAAAATACAGAAAGTGAAACAGAAAGTGACCAAAAACAATTGAATACGTCTTACGTGATCCATCCTAACTTATGTCATATATTAACATACCATATCTCCTTTTTTTTTATTTAAAAAATAAAAAAAAGTTATAGGGGTGAGCCACTTTTGAGACGCACCCGGTGTATTAAACTTCTCTAATGGTTTCCATTTCGTAATAGGACTTAAAAAAAAAATAAAACTCAGCAAGTTTAATAAATATAAAGAAAACTGGGATTAGTAACAAAATGCATATCGTTGCATACTTTACATATTTAATGCAAGTTATTCCATTTTTATATAAAAACTGCATACATTTACATATTTCCAACAAAATATAAGGAATATTTTCTCATATTAAAATAGATGGTTTACCACGATGACATCAGACATTCAGTGAATAGTAACATTTATTGAATAAAATGTATTCTGATTTAATTTAAATCATCATGAAAAACAGAAAAAGAAATATTTTTTTGAAGATGAAGAGTAAATTATAAAGATGAAAGAAAAAAATCAACATGGATCTAAATAACAAAACGCCTATTATACATATTATTTTTCCTTTCAAATGCTTTCTAGTAAATTAAAAGGAAATGTTTTTAAAATCACCTAGAAACAACGAGGCTCTATAAAATATTAAAACAACGAAAAACAATACAAAACAACGGAAGAGCCTAATCCAATTTTCGGGCTGTTTTAGTGATATCTTATGTTTTTCTTTCTTCTAACTCTAACAAAAAACGTTATTTTCAGATTATCGAAAGAGCAAAGTATGACACATGTTTTCAGTATATGATATAATCGAAAATTTCACTCTATAACGCCAACAAACATTTTTCTTATACCAAAACAGAGTTTTCTGTTAAATAAATATTTAAACATTGAACGAAACCCGTTATACCAATGTATCTTTTTTTCGTACTTATATGATTGATTAAAAGTAAATAATATGGTTTATTTAGTGTGTTCATGCGATGCTTCTTTTTCGGATAGGGTTTATAAATTGAAATGGATTATTTCCAATTTTCAGTATTAATTTGGGTGGAAAATTATTATCCTGACATTATTATGTATACATTTATTAGAGAGAATTGGCAAAAATACAAAAAAATATTGGAATATGCATTTAACAACTTGATTATTTTAGTTGGTCAATTTTTGAAATTTAATTTCGATTGATAAATAGGTTTTATGGAATGGAATATGTTTAGGTTAATAATAATAATTTAATTTTAAAATCAATACAATTAATTAAATTAATGGACACGTATATTGAAAAATTACTGTTAAAAATGTTATATACGTTAAACAATATTCTACGTAACATTCACGGCATTTAATAGAAACAGAAATATTTCAATCCTTATTAAAAAATTATTCGATTCGAAAATCAAAATATCGATTTATCGATATTTTGATTTTTAAATGGCATCTTTGTTATTTTTTTACGTTATTCGGTGAAGAATTATATTCTGAATAGAATGATATATCATATGTCAACTTTTGACATTTTTAATTAAAAAATCGTATTTTAAATTTTAATCGAGTGTACCATGGCTATATTAAAAACTCTTTTTTAACAGGGGCGCTATTCTGTACACGGCATCGACAATCGTCGCTATCGGTAAGTTACGACAGCTCTCGATACCGTATTTGTATATAGTAAAAATGTGTTAATTGTTGTGGTCATAGTTACCGATCGGCCCTATGGCAGATATTGCAAATTTGTACGTGAGGTTAACAAGGGCACGGTAGAGATACCGATCCTCGTTGG